ACGATTTAATTTATTTGTGAATAAATGAAAGCATAACTTATTGTACATAATGGGAAGTTTGATTTGAATAGATAAGTATTCCATAGAAATTTCTACTATGAACTTAACAAAAATCATTTGTCATCGATCCCATGCATATTCTCATTTGTCAGTAGTCAAACTACAAAATTGTTTTGGCTGCAATAAATGTAAATTATATAGAGAATTTTGTCTTGTAATAATAACCACTTCCGTCTGCTAGACACAAAACCAAGTTAGCAAACGTATGTTTTACAAGTACAAAGTACAATGATAACATTTTGTTTCTAGTAAAAGGTGTTTTAGTCTTTTGTCTGAGTGATGTCTCCTGAATCAGACTCTCGACATTATACCTGACAAGAGAACATCAATAATCACGTAGGGTGAAATTCAGATAAAATATTAAATGCATACTTTAATTACTGTAGTCTGTAATGATGAGGTTTTTGACCAACAATACAAATTTTTGGTCATAAAAACTTATATAATAGTATTGTAAATACGAAAGTAAGAAAAATTCATAATGATTCAAGTACTCTATCCCAAAACACTTCACTTTTCTTTTTGACATTGAATTGACTTGGAAGAATAGGAAGGGAAGAATTGGAAGGGTTTTCTGTTGAGAGAAGCTGAATGGAAGGCTTTACTTCCACTTAAGCGTGAAAGCAAGATTGCCTTTTAGCCAACCTTTCATCCACATTGAGAAAAAATATAGGGAGATCTACAACTCAGGTCTCAATCCGTTCAAAAATATTATGAAGGAAATTATTCTATAATCTTATGTCTGTTTGTCTGTCTGTATGTCTGTCTGCATATCTCAAAATCCAGCGGAAGGATTTTGTCAAAATTTTGGAATTAGGGACTTATAGCCCTAAAAACGTGATTGGCGACAGCGACTACCTCAGGAAAATTTATATTCGTCTACACAACTCATTTGAAAATTTAAACATTTAACATTGGCCTTATGGGTTGCCAAGTAACCCATTGTTGTTGTTCAACCCATTTGTTGGTTGAATAAAACAACAAGGAAAGTTAAAAAAAAGACTTGTAACTTTTGTTTATAACAAGCCATCCACAGTATACTATCAAATTACAATACAGTAAAAAGGGTAAACATCAGTTGTTACAGTTAATTGATCAAAGATTACTCTGAAGATCACCCCATATAAGGCAAAATAGCTCCTATCAAACACTGATTATATTATACGTTCGTGAACACAATAAATTGATCAATTTTTGTCCGATTTTGATGAAATTTGGTTTAAAGGTGTAAGACAAGATAAACTTGAATGAGTTCGCGAACCAGCATGATCGGACTATGGGAACAGGGTTTTACGGGAAGTTATTTTTTACCCTCAAAACACTAAATTTACCAATTTCTCTTTGGACCTTTTTAAAAGAGCCTAAAAAAACAAATAATTTAGTATATCAAAGTGTTGTTGTACAACTATTGGTAACAGAGAAAATTTAAAAAAACTATAAATTCCCATGTTATTCTTATAGAGAATATTGTAAAATGTTGTAGTTTGCTCGTTTATGGATATATTTTGATCAAACTTGGCAAATTGATTTATTTTATACTAAGCTATAATGTTTTACCAAAAAACACACTTTATTAGTTTCCTTGTAGCAGCAAACCTAGGTACTTGTTAAACCTAATGTTATTTAAATAGATTTGATTGAAAATCAATTCAGCCAAATGGAAATTTGCTTAGTCAGCAGGTTTTCAGCGGTGGGGGTATTTAAGAAAATGTGATCATGTAAACTGTAACAATGTGTGAGCCACGTCAATCGGCTGTTTTATGCTTATTTACACTGATCAGCTGTTTGTAACGATACATTGTTAAAATGTCATAATTTCCTGTGTGTTGCTTATTGTTAATCGGTGTGCTGCGTTAGTATCATTTTTCAGTATTAATTTATTCAATTTGTCCTTATTGATAAATGGCTAGTTTTAAACCTAAAATTTATAGTTGCAACTGCATGGAGACGCTTGTGCACAATAGTGAATGTTTTTGCACTGGGACTGGGAGCTGTAGACGTGGCTCACTACCAGTGGTGGTTTACATAGGAACAGTTGGCATTGACATGATAACAATAAAAAAAAGAGTGTTCTCCCTTATTTACTAACAGATTTTCTTAACTTTGTTATCATAAGATTTGTGTAATTGAATTCTCTTTAAAAAAAAAATACTAGAACATTTTTATACACAGTTTTTGAGATATTTTCGTTTTAAAATTTTAAGCAGCCACCATTTTGAAAATAAGCAAACCTAAAAATATATTTTTTTATGATTTCTTAAGTTAATAATGCCATATACCAAATTTTTATTTTTTTATAACAAGCCGTTCTTAAATAAAAAATATTTTTGTAAATTAAAAAATAGATCAAATAATAAATAATTAAAGGAATAATACATAAAAAATTTGGTAGAGAGTTCCGGGACACCCTGTATATTAGTCCTACATTATAAAGTTCTCAGTCTAATAATCCTGGATGACAAAATGTGTTACCCTGGAGGATTATTTAATAACTACAGCCTCTGTTTTAAAACTCTAGCTGACAAATGGAGTGTTACAGAAATCCTGTTGTTTTTAATTTGATACATTTAGTAAACTATGATTGTATCTATTAATCTCTATCCCATGAGTATGGAATTTACTAGCCAGTAATCCAGACAGATTTGACTTAACTACCTCTGTCTACTGTATGGAAACACACGTTAGTTATACATTTAGTTGTGTTGCACAGTGTACAGTGCTGTAGGAGGTCAATGTTATTTTTCAGAATACACACTATTTAACTTTTTATGTTGAAAGTGTTTCGTTATATTTATTAATTGTACTCACTCAAACACCACTGTCTCCCTTTATATCAGTTATATTCCATTTAATTCAAATTTTCATTATTCCGTACAACTTGCACTTCCAACTAGTATAGTAGGGTATTGAGTAAGTTGACAGTTTGAACTAAGACTAAACTTCAGGATGTTAATTATTTCAACTTCTTCAGCTCTACATAACAGCGAAATTAGTTTGGAAATATTTTAAGAGTTCCAGTCACTTAAAACATATGAATCTTAATGTGGATAACTTATTATTGTGCATTTTATTTAGAAGTAAGTAATTTAAAAAATACCTACTTCTTTAAACATTAACCGCTAGCCTTCCTAATAAGGCGTTGTCAACAACATGTGATTTCTTAACGCCATACGTTTTATGTTATTGTTTTAAAATGTTTACGTTTATATTTTTCATTCAGTTCAAATCTTACTAATATTATAAATGTGAAAGTTTGTGTGTTTGTTTGAAGTTCAATCACGCATAAACCACTGGACGGATTGGGCTGAAATTTGGCATGATGATAGCTCACATTCCCGATTAACATATAGGCATATTCTTATCTCAAAAATCCTTTCGGGCTCCGCCCCAGTGGCCCTGTAGTTCCCCATGTTAACCTTATGAGTATTCATATTTAAAGGGAATTAAAGAACTTAGTCAGCTGTTTCAACTAAAAAAGTTGGTTCTATCAAAGCAGATTACATTGGTTCTATGATACAAAAGCATTAAAAAGTTATAAGATTTACCAACAGGGTGCAGCACTATAATTTTTTTGCATTTACAGTAGATTCCCTCTTATCCGGACTCCTCGGGACCGAGGCCAGTCCGGATAACGGGTTTTCCGGTTAAACCGACGTCCCCAAAAACTCATTAAAACGGACTGTTTACTGTGATATTCGACTTAAATTTAGGAGAGCATTGTATTTAGACACGTGATCACTGGTCTCGTCTCAAATCTTTCCCACGAGAACAGTCGTTTCAGTACCGCCCACTTCCTGCCGATCTAGTCCGGTTAAAACAATGTGCTGATAAAAATTGTCCGGTTAAACAGATGGCATTTCCGCCGAGTGTAGTCCGGTTAATCCGATGTCCGGTTAAAAGGTGTCCGGATAAGAGGGAGTCTACTGTATGTAAACAGCTAATTTGAACTAAGCAGCAACAAAAAACTGTGTTACGCAATGAGAACTGTCAAAGTAGGGTTGTTTACAGTTGTTTACATGTTTATGTTTTTAATGTCATGAATAATTTGTTATTTTTTGTGAATTTTTAATAATTTTTGTATTGTTTAGGTGAAGTGGTAGAACATTATGGCTATGGAAGATGTGTAATACCATCGTATACCGTCAGTTTTAAGAAGCAAAATTTTATCAAATTTTGTCCTCCCCCATTGCAAACGCAAAGCTTGAGTATAACTGCAATAAGCATTTTAAACTTATATGACAACCCCCGGGTACTCTGCTAGTGGTTGAATAAAAGTGGGTTTTGCATTCTCTTGTATCTTGATTTATTTAATTTAAGGACTTGATTATTCCCATTCAAAAAATTTACACTGTGCATTTATTATTGTGAGGGGATATTTGTTTCTCTTTTACAATAACTTTGTTGTCTTGATTTCAAATTGACATTGTCAATTGTTCAAAAATAGTGAAACAAGTAATCAAAGATGAACATAATTTAAAGATTATTACGTCAAAACTGTATTATAGTATATGAAAAAAATAATAGTCCAAAAGTATTTAGACAATGTAATAATGCAATACAGTGTTAGAACATTTGCTGGGAAAAAGGAATAAAGTACTCTAAAAGCCTATTTTATCTCAATAAACCAGGCCAAAGCTTCTTCTTTCAATTCAGTGGATTGGAAACCCTTCCATTCTTTGGCACATAGAGTGATGAAAGTTCAGATTATTGCTGAGCAATTTCTCTTTTTAGAACAGAAAAGAGATGTGAAATCTCTTTGACACTTCAGTGGAAAGAATTAAGATAACAGTTTTTTAATAGACAATGGAGGGCATTAATTACCAGTATTTAACTTTAAATCCATAACTGAATTTAGAGTTGATGAAATTAGATAACAGGGTTATTACACTTTAATAACAACACTTGAAATTTCTATACATATTTATTTACAAGCTGGGTGCCTTTGGGCTGTATTTTTTGTTGATTTAAAAAAACACATTAAACTATTTTTACCATGAAATAGCCTTTTTTCCCAAAACTATTGTTGAAACATAATTTTACTTTAAAAAATTTTCCTCAGCGAAAACGTTGAAACCACATGTTTAGAGCTGCAAACAAAAATGTAATACAAATTATAACATACCAGTAACAAAATTTACTTATTATAGATTTAAAAAAATGTTGACTTAGATATAATAATAACTGAATCTTTTCTTTTAGTGTAAAGGTCGATTCACACACATCAGTTACGGCACGTCACAGTAAAGTCACTTCAGGCACGTCACAGTTAACAAAAATATTCTTTGATGGATTTTCTATTGCGCTATGTACACTCATCCGTTGCAGTCCCGTCAGTCACTCTGCTGGCATCCGTCAGTCAATTTCAGATTTCTTTCCAACGATACTTTTTGATTGTTCGGACGCCTGACGGAACTGTTTGAGGTTAGAAAATAGTGTTATTGTTATTTAAATGGTTGCGTTTGTATTTTTAGTACTGTTTGTAACAATCAACAAGATGGACAATGATAATTTGATAGAATATAGGTTTATAACTTTAAATTTTTGACTATAAATTACTGTGAATTTTAGAGACGGAAGACTGACTGAAACCACTTGACGGACAATTGACTGAGAAATTGTGGATGCAACTGTGACTGGACTGTAACTGGACTGCAACTGGACTGTAACGGAACTGTGACTGGACTGATGTGTGTGAAATGAGGCTTAAGTCAGTAACAAAATTATTAGACTTTATTTTTTGCAAGTCGTAAGTAGAATTCTGAGCTTACGTAGTTAAATTCTAAAAAGTTTCAGGATAAATTATTTAATATATTAAACAGTTGGTAAAATATTTACAATATATATGAGTATAATGTATATAATGAGTATAAATATGAGTATAAAGAATACCAAAAACTTGTATGACAAAGTATACCAATTCAAATTTTGAATCTTTACAACGTTTTCTAGGAAGAACGTTGGTACCACATGTTCAGAGCTGAGAATATTTAAATAATAAAGTATGAAATTTAATAAATACAGGAGTTATAATTGTCATATACACAACGAAAACTTTTCACTCTGAGCAAATACGATAACTAACTAGCCTTAGGAACTTTGTGTGATTAAACATAGACCTTAATACATGTAAGAGTAATTTGAGATCTTTAAACTCAACATTAAACTGTGCAATTGATGGGTTCAGTTGATTACGCTTGGTAATTTGTTGTGTAATAAATGTGCATTTTGTACTTGCACTGCCAGAGGTTAAGTGGTAGAGAGGACTTGCAAGTCCTAACTTTGTCTCTTAAATAAAGACATTTTCATTTCATTACATATTGTGCTCCCGTAAGAAGTGTTTGGTTTATAGCTAGGGGACGAGTTAGAGTTATTGTTTTTGATTAGATTGTTTTATTTGGTTAAAGAAGTTTTAAATTAGTTAAATAAGTAGAAACAAATTGAAAACAAAACACGACGTCTACAGTCAAGGCCTCACCTTGCCTTGTTACAGTGCACCGGACAGAACTAACTATAAAATTGTCTTCAACTGTTCCATAAGGATGAGAAATCTACTAATGTTTTATCCATCCTAATATTTTTCATGTGTCAAATATATAATAAGATTTTGGATTGAGGATGGACTTCTAAGATATTGGATTGAATCTATCCCTCCACAGTCACCCCTGATCATAATATTAAACAATACATCCAACCCGGCAGGAGCAAAATATGTCTTGTTTAAAGTTGTTTAGGTGACCTAACAAAGGACGTCTTTCCATCAACTCTTTTATCTTCATGTTTATTTGACTAGGGTTATACAAAACTAAATAGATAAGTAAGATATTCAAAACAACTGTTAGAACTTAGAAACTTACTAGTCTTACGTCCTTGTATGACAGGACAAGAACCCCAAACCATATTTTCGTATATGTTTTCCTCTTCGTCTACATTTAGGTAAGTGAGAGCTGCCCCCGCCACTGGGGCTACGGCCAGTCCCAGGTAGGGAAACGCCATCAAACCCCCCGCCTGGGGCTGTTGTAGCTACATTACATCACATCAAAATTATTGTTTATCTACCACAAGTAACTTATTCTACCAAATTGCAGAATAATTATATTTTGTCGCTAAGCAGCTTCGTCAGGGATCTTGTAATGTTCTATAATTTCACACTTTTGCAGCTAAACTATGTAATGGGTTGTTATTTGTTATTACTATACTCAATAAGGGTAGGAATAATTTCTGTTGAGCTGGAGGTGATATCTTAATATTTGCAATCTGTTCTTTATACTACAAGTAAAGAATTTTATCAGAGCCTTGGTGGCTTGCAGTGTGCTACAAACACAATTATGATAACCCAACCTAACAAAACTGCCGCAGCGCTGTATAAGGGTGGCCTCCGGATAATACCAAAGTACCTTGTATTAAGTATTTGGTTCGGTTTAAATAAAATGTAAATGGTTAAGCTATTTACGAGCATATTGTATAGAATAATTTAAGACTTTTACATGTACTTACAAAAAACATAGTGGATCCGTGTCTGGAAATATCTTCTGGTTCATCCTGGAAATGCGCCATGTTGCTGTTATTGTGGGTAAGGAAATAAGTAGTAAATAACCAAATCTTAAATTGATTAAAATTAAAGAGACTGAATGGGTTGGAAAAATGGTGGTTTAAAAATTAAAGATTACTGGAGACTAATTTTAATAGCAACTGTAATACTTGGGCTTTATACCAAACCACCCACAAATTTAATTTATCTCAGCTACAATCAAACTCATGACATTCTACAACATTCAGCATTCTATGACAATGTTTCCTCTCTTCTGCCACTTTTTATTAATATTTTCATATACGTTTATTTACTGACTAAGATCAGCTGTTTCGTCAGCCAGGATCATTTGTTTACAATCCAATAATCAGAGACAGCTGGGTCCAGTTTCGAACCATCAAAAAGCTACTGACTTTTCTCAGGGTCGATCTGGCAACCTTTTTAATTGCTAGGCGAGCACTATTTTAACCGTTCAGCCAGACAGACAACTTCCCAAATGATGACATAATGAAAGGAAACCATACCTCAGTCTCAGTCAAATAAATGTCCCGATCAATCAAAAGTTCACCACCAGGAGGGAATGCAGACAGATACGTTTGTTCTAGTGTGTTGTGCATGTTAGCTGCAGCGATCCAGTTTGCTCTGAGAAGAAGAGATTCACTGACTGAGGAATTCGCTGGGAGAGGTCCCCAGTACTGCTGCACTCGTCCAATCAGGTTTGTGTACCCAGATTTCTTAAGGGATCAAAAATAAAAATTAAATTACCTAATTAACCATGAATAAGAAAATAATAACATAAATAGTAACAACAAAATAAATTATTATAAATATAAATGTAGGTGAAACTAACAATAGTATAAAAATAAAAATAAAAAAAGGTACAAAATCTAAACAAGACAAAACTCAAGTAAAATGAAATATCAAGGAATAGAAAATTAACCACTATTGACTCAATAAATTTGCAATACAGAGTCTAAAAATAGATTCTCACAACTTGATATTATAAACTTAACCATTCTCTCTCATTTCAACTAAAAAAATACTGCAGTTTTTAAATGTAGGGCGTTTGAATAAGTATTAGGTCTTCAGTGAATTTCAAATTTCTCTATTTAAGCTTTGACTATTAGACATTCCATCCCCATGTTAAAGGTCGCCAGCTTTTTAATCAAATTTGTCTTAGTTGATGTGAGCCACCTACAGATTGCGCTGGATATAAATTACTGATTTCTGCCGATTACACAATGGTTTTTACCAAGTCAAACTTATGGAATGACTTATTATAAGCTATAGCAACTGTAATGACCCAGTAACTATGTCAGTAACAAAAAATAAGGTACAAACTAGAGTTTTAGACACTAGAGCAATCTGTGACTGGCTCACACAACTACATTAAATTAGTTTTTAGTAAAAAACGGGCCACAGCTGATCCATATAGATGGAATGTCTTCTTCTGTATCCAATAGTTAAAGATTTAAGCTGTACAAAAAATCTCAATCAATGTTTTCAGAAAAATTACAATTTTTTAACATTTGTGAAAATTAAAGCATGTGGGGTCACGATAACACTTTTTATTAGCTTTTATCTGACACAACCAATTAGAGACTCACCTTACTGTCGTCAATCATTTCTCGCATGAGAAATTCACTCTCAGTTTGATGAATGACATCATATGTCAAGTAAACGTCTGGTTTCAGGTGAAGATACTCTATCTTGAAAGGTCTCAAGAGCCAACGCGGATCTTCTTGACCACCCAAGTGGCACCTCAGAGTTTTGGATGGAGAGCTCTTGGCTCGACACAGTTTTGAATAGTTGCTTGATAGCTGTGCATCCTCTTCCCATGCCAGCTGTAATCTATGCTGTGTGAAGTAGTTACAGAATATATTATTTAAATTTTAGACTAAGAATCGAGTTTGATCCAAATGTTTCATTCTTTTGGTCATGTGGAGAGAGTGTACTCCTACGGCTATGAATAGTTAAATCATTGCAGTTTTAAGAGAAAGATTAAGAAGAAAAATAAATTTTTAGAATGTAGAAGAGGTCTTGAGATTATGGAGAGAAAATGGTTGATAGAGTGTAAACTTTTTAGAAGAGTATAATTGGAAAAATTTATGCCTATATCAATTATCAATCATTGAGATGGGGACGCCACCTAGGGGCGTATTTCAACCCAATATGAGTGAAGTTTGAGTGTAGAATGGTGTGTGATGACCTGTGTAGCTTTGTTACTGACTAAGATCAGCAGTTTCATTAGTCATATCAGGATCATTTATTTAAAGCCCAATGATCAGGAACAGCTGGGCCCAGTTTCGAACCATCAAAAAGCTACTGACTTTTCTCAGGATCGAACCGGCGACCTTTTGATTACCAGGCGAGCACTATAACCACTCAGCTACCCAGCCAGTCTATATATATATCTAAACTTATAATAATAATTCCGTATTCATGTATCTACAACTTAATCAAGTGGGCGAGTTGATTTCTGTATGCAGCAGTTTGAATAAGTCACAGCTAATCTCAAATAAAATTCAGTAGGATTCATGTATTTACAACTTACATCAATTGGCTTTAATGATTCGTTATCAGTCAGTTTCTTACAAGTATCATTGATTGCCAGAAGATGATCTTTAATCAGCTCCTGGGTTGGGCGGAATTCTGGAAACTCGTGGTACAACTTTTTAAAATACTTTCTTGCCAGTTTTTCATCTCCTGAAACATAATGAAATACATCCAGGTTAATATTTGTAATTGACAGTACCGCCTCAAGACTGTTTATCTAAACAACTGATCTTTTTGGCCGCTTAGAAAGCGACCTCCTCCAGCATTGGTTAGCATTAACGCGCAGGTCGCTTTCTAAGCGGCCGAACTATACACAGATCATCTCACACCCTTCTATAATCATCCTTCACACATATTTGGGTTAAAATAGGCACCTAGGGGGCATCCCCATGTCAATTATTGATAACTGATAATTTAATTTAATTTAAGCCTTAGCTAATATAAAATATGAATATAAAGTTACTTGTATGTCTAATTTAACAGGAGACAAATACACACACAAGGCAAGGGTGAAAAGAATTTGATCAATAGGGGATGGACTCCACACAGGGTTCCATCAGTCCATCACTTTTGCTGTAACACTAAGGCTGCAGGGCAAGTCTATGAATCTTTGGAGACACAAAACAGATGCTCGATGGAGTGCATTTTTTATTCCTGTGATGCCATCATTTTCGTTAGTACCAGGGTAACATCAGCTGTTTCCATTTTCTTGAAGACTGCATTCGCTTGGATTTTAATGTATGCTATGTGAAAAGTCTCATTATTAGTGTTATTATAACTGCATACCTGTAAAACAAATAGCCAGAGCTGTATACTCATAAATCTGTCCCATTTCAGGTACAAAAGTTTCATAATCACTCTCTTTGGTTGCTAACACGTTCTTCTCCTTGGTCTTATTGGCTGCTTGAGCCAACGCTTCCTTGAACCAGTCTACGGCCAAATGATAGTGATGATTCTTGAACAAGTCTTTACCCACTGCCAAACAGTCATCAACTGTAACAATAATATCAACATAAAATTAGGTTATAACCTGTCCTAAATCAATCATAAATGAATAAATAAATAAATAAATCCTATAATTATTGACAACGGCAAGTGCAAGAAGATATGTTTGACGATTTAACTACTGATGATTTGAAAATGGGGTTTTAATCCCGAAGCTATAGTCATCAAGGTTGTTAAGGAAGCCGACATCAGCTTGTCGAAACAAAATCTAAATTCACATGGTTCAAATTGTTCAATAATTAAACTTATGTCCTTGTCAATTTGATTAATTCATTGCTAGATTGCTTTACTTCTATCAGTTTCCATTTTACAGTGTTAGTTCATTAATTATTAATGGAAACTGATAGAAGTAAGGCAATCTAGCAATGAATTAATCGAATTGACAGGACATAAGTTTAATTATTGAACAATTTGAACCATGTGAATTTAGATTTTGTTTCGACAAGCTGATGTCGGCTTCCTTAAGGAGAAGACCGACATTTTAAGTTAGAAAACCTACATCCTAAAGCCCCCTGATTTCTCCCCGGCAACCCCTAACTGAACTTAAACTATCGCATGATTGAATTGGGATTCCCTGATAATTTATGCAATACTTAGATACTAATACTTATGTTTAGTTTTGAGTTTTCAGCGAGGTTTCTGGGTCGGCGATGTCAAGTCCGAGAAGAGGGGAAAAGGCGAACGAGAGAGATTTTACGTATCCTCGTCGTTTTTACCTCTATTGCCGTTGACAGCTGATACGCTTCGGCCAATAAGTTATTGCTCACGCGCTGAGTATGTATGTATAAAAGTGACGCGCACGGCACAACGACAAATATAGGATTGATTGGCGACAGGTTAGTAACGTCATTTTATGTCAATTAATCAATCCTGGAGGCAAATATGTATAAGATTATCAAGTTTGTAATGTAAGCCTGTTCGTCAAAACCAAAATCCAAAACTTAGATTGTTTTATAGTTGTACGGTATCTTAGTTGTATTATGTCTCACAAAAATCTGTGTTATTGTAACAATGTAAAGTTATATGTTCAATTTGGCTTCAGTTTCAAAACTAAGAGTTGTAAAAATGTGTCTAAATGTATAAAAAAATTACAAACTAGTATAAATGCAAATAGTTTAAATGTATATCTACAAAATGTATTGATTTTGTCCAAATCCAATGGGCAGTTTGAAACTAAGGCTTAAACTGAGAAGAGCTTTTTATGCTCAATGTTGTGAGAAGAATAAGCTTAACACACTACACACTACCAAAACAGGTAAGAAAGACACAACATTCTTCAAAAAAGAAATCATCCTTAGTCCTTAGTTTGGAAGGAAATGAGGACTGAGTTAAATATTTGTTCAAATAAATCAACAAATTATAAGGGATAGCAGTGCAGGTTTCTCAGAGACAATTTATCGTGGAAAATAATTACGGTATCTATGTACTTGTTTTAAAGTGGATGTAGTGATTTCGATAAAGATACCTTAAGTCCATATTTACTGTTAAATGTATGAAAAAGTAAATTTTACTTAGAAAATTAAAAATAAAATTTAAAAAAAAAACATTTAGTCACCATCGATCAATACACTCTTTATAACTGGAAATGAATCCCATCAGTCTTAGGTTTCATAATAGGATGAGGAGTTCAATGCACCATCCAAAGCAAATTATAACATTAGCCCTTCCACATGCTACAACAACAAAGACTACTAAACAAAGACCAATAAAAAGATCAGAGCCGTCATACAACCTTTGAAGAACTACCTCAAACTATTTCCCAAATATGCACCATGTAGCTCTTCAAATATCCATTGTTGATTAAGATTACACACCTGTCAGCAGAGATGTATTGTCAGTGCCATGAAAAGGTGACCCATATACTAATGCCTCAATAGAATAACCGTAAACCTGCTGAAGACGAGCAATACTATGCACAGCTGCGTAATAGTCGTCAATGTTGGGAAGATCAATCAGTTCATCTTCTTCATCTGGTATGAAATAAAATGGCGATTAACTAAGGTTCCTTTGATATTAAAATGTCAACAATTTCTGTAAAGAAGTTTTATTTACTAGTTTAATTTGTTATAACCATTTATATATATAGAATGGAGCAGATATTCCATATACCTGGACCAGCTGTGGACAATTTGTTACTTTTGAGTCTGGTTTACACGATGCCAGCTGGTGTGTCAGTTGTCTTCGCCAAATGTGATCACGTGATTGCGGGATTGTCGAGGGTCAGCAGTTGTCCTCAGTCTACTCCCGGAGACAATTGAATTTCAGGTCAGTTGTGAGGACAAAGATTGGCCTGAAGTGTTTACATGAAGCAATAATTCCATGCCAGTCAGTTGTCTTCTGACAACTGTCTCACCTACTTGCATCGTGTAAACCCGGCTTTTAAAGAACATAGCTGAATTACAGATTGTGCGTTAATCTATAATTTTACTTTCCCCTTAGTTTGTATTACTGTAGTTAAGATAGCATAAACAATGGCTAACTAAAAATTGCCCTCACAGTTTGGCTTTATTAAAAAGTTGGCAGATTCATAAAAAAACAGTGAATTACATCAGCTCTATTGGTAGTTCAATTCCACTTCTTTCATTTGTATTTTATAACTGGCTAAAACTCTGAAATGGCAATAAAATATCTAGTTATATACATAATCAATGATGATATCCATTGTATGAATCTATCATATCGATACTTAATACAGTGAGTATTTTATCAAATCAGATTTAATTTCCTAATTCGAAACTTAATTTTTCCTAATAAAGTATCAAGGAGACAAATGACAGGAAAAGCAGGCTTACCTTAACAAATGTAGGCATCCCACTTATCAATATCAAGGCAAAAATGTGGTTCGGATACCACTATAAACTGTAGGACCCTTAGTTGCCATTGGCTGTATGGGCAACTAAGGTCTGTTAACTTACAGCTTTTTCTAAAGAACATGTCGGGCTTAGTCACTGACGAGACTTTAAGATTGCGCCACTCATTCTACACACATCCTTCGCTCATATTTGGGTTAAAATACGCACATAGTAGGGTCTTCATCTTAAATAATTTATATAATTGACAATTTGAATTTACAAATGAATATTTACAAATAAATACGGTCATTGATTATTATTTACAAAAGAGTCCAAGCCTGCTTTAGGTATGGAAAGGGTAATGAAATTGTTATCTGAGATTTTTATCTACAATTTTCTTTCCCTTTCCATACCTAAAGCAGGCTTGAACTCTTTTGTAAATAATAATCAATGACTGTATTTATTTGTAAATATTCATTTGTAAACTCAAATTGTGTTGGCAACACTGCTTCCTTTACCAGTGAATTGACTTTCAGAATCTAATGTGACTCTCAATGTTCAGAACGGGGCCAGTGACCTCAAAATATTCAGTGTTTTATTTTGTGTACTTTAGTGAATGAAGTTGGGATGCCTAAATTTTTTAAGGTAAACCTGCTTATTCTGCCCTTGGTCTCCTTAAGAGTCGGCAAGAGTCAACTAATTTTACATTGTTGTTGACCGTCAGATGCCAGGCTAAAAAACAATGGTTGTCCTAGCGCCGATCAGCAAACACGTTCACGTTGAAGCATATTAATCATGTACCGTAGGTTTGATTACAGAGCAGAAACTTTTATGTGATTCTTAAATATATTTTCCGTGTGAATTGCTTGTTGGATTTTTTAAACTTTTGTTTTAGAAGTTGAAAAAAATTACAAGTCAATATATTTATATAGTTTGACAAAATAATAACAATTAAAATAAAAAAGTAGATAGCAAATCACATCTGTGGTTTCAATAGCTTTAAAATGAGATATTTTGCAACTTGTCATCTTAATAAACAATGCCGTTATGGGTAAAAAATCCAAGATGGCCGGCGGTCCTGCGACTCTTCTCAGGCAATTCAAATCAAACCTTTCCTAATAAGTATGTTATTGTTAAGATGAAGTAACCTGCAATAGCGCCACCAACCATCACCAGTGTGAGGGGCCAGTCATTCACCAATCTCTTGAGCAAGGCATGAACATTGAGAGGGTTGCCCAGGTATTCATCTGGATTGTTGATCTTGGGCTGGTGCTTCTGCTGTTCTTCATAATGTCTGAATTAGAGAGTGAACATGATTACTTTTACTTAACAATGATTTTTATAACGTTTGTTATATTTTTCTTTGAACTAGTTGTAGTAATGGGTTGCTAACCATGTGATGGTTTAACTTCTGTTTAACTACCAGCATCACAGTAGAAACAGTTAATGGACTCGACTAAAAATTAATTTTCAAAAATAAAGATTCACCTTAAGATACTAAGACACGGAAAGGCGGCTGTGCAGGAACACACTTTGTGTAATATTAAAATACCCCCGCCGCAGCAAACCTGCAGACTAAGCGAATTTCCATTTCCCTGAATGGATTTACACTAAAATGTCTCCTTAAAAATATCACATTTACTCCCTATTTAAATAGAATCAGTTTAAAACATACTTAGGTTTGCTGCAACATGGAGGGTAAAAGTGTTTTTTATGTAAAATGTTAATAGTTAGTAAGAAATAAAACATTTTCCAAATTTGGGCAAAATTAATAAACAAGCAAACTACAACAGTTTACTTATTCTCCATAAGAATAACATAGGAATTTTAAATTTACAATTTTTTGGAATTTCCTCCGTAACCATTAGGCGCATTATAACGCTTCAATATACTAAATTATTTGTTTTTTTAAGCTCTACAAAATGGTTTGGAAAGAAATTGTTAAATTTTATGTTTTTTGGGTCAAAAATGGGAAAAACAAATTTTTACCCCATAAAACCCCCTGTAAACCCCCGTTCCCATGGTCCGATCATGCTGGATCGCGAACTTGTTCGAATAAACGTAGGTTTACACGTTTGCACCAAATTTCATCAAAATCGGATCATTCTTGCTCGAGTTATCGCGCTAACGGACACACATATATATATATATATGAATTTGAACGGATGGTGTTTTTGGCCTCTAGGGACCTCAAAACGAAAAAAAAAAATCGGTCCCGGGTCCAGGTCTTATCATGAGTACTACGGTAATAGCTACTTCCCTATAGGGAAATTCGCTAAAACTGAATATGTATACAAGATACGACAGAATGAGTTTAGATGTGATTATGTGGCTTTGTATTAAAAGCCTAATAATCAAGCACAGCTGGAACCAGTGTTCTGAGAACCTCAAAGCAAATGCAAAGGATTAGTGTTTCCAATAGATAAATATTGGACAACTATGGGTGGGATTGAAAATATTTTTTTTATCAGAATGGCAAGGCTAGAGGATAGTTTGGTTACGTGAAATGGTTGGATGCTAGAAGAGTGGATGAAATCTTGCTTGAAAGAGATATCGGAAGAATGGGAAGAGTTCAAAGATCACAAAAGAAATTACGAGATATGATATTCTTTAAAGCAATTTAATATTTGCCACATATCTGTTTTTAATGTTATACTTCATTGATAAATATGGTTAAATAGTTAAATGTGTTGATAAAAAAAATAGTGTGATCTATGTCTTCACTTGTAGTTGGTTTAATTCAATGTGTTAAGTTTTAATAATTCAGTTTGCCCTTTTATTTTGGTGAGCTAGATTTATAATTTAGTGTCCAGGGAAAACATATATTTACAGATATTATAAAAGAAGACCTAATGATGAAAGGAAAACATCAACGAGAAGCTTCAATGGAGGAATAAGGTCAGAAGTGGTATATCTCGTACCCCTTGGAGAATGGGGCTGTTAAATCAATTATGAGCCAATGTGGGGATAAGGACAGAAATGGTATATCTCATACCCCTTTTTTTTCTTTTTTTTGTCCTAGGACGCTAGGCTCGAGCCTGGGATTGTTTTTCACATTACTTCAGGCTAGACCTAGGGGTTGCGGCATTATCACTTAGATAAAATCCATTGGTGACTTGGCGGGGATCGAACCCGGGACCTCACGGACCGAAGTCCCGCGCTCTAGCCACTACGCCAGCTCGCTCCCCATATCTCATACCCCTTGGAGAATGGGGCTGTTAAATCAATTATGAGCCAATGTGGGGATAAGGACAAAAATGGTATATCTCATACCCCTTGGAGAATGGGGCTGTTAAATCAATTAAGAGTCAAGGGTGGAATAAGGACAGAAGTGATATATCTCATACCCCTTGGAGAATTGAGCTGTTAAATCAATTATGAGCCAATGGGGGTATAAGGACAGAAGTGATATATCTCATACCCCTTGGAGAATTGAGCTGTTAAATCAATTATGAGCCAATGGGGGTATAAGGACAAAAAGGGTATAACTCGTACCCCTTGGAGAATGGAGTTCCCACACTGTCTTATACTCTATAAAACTGTCCCTATTCCACTAGTTAAACCAAAACAAATGCAATTTTTAAAGTAACTCTAAGGATAATGTCTAAAAAATTGATTCCCACACTTAAAACCTGAAATATAACCAAAGTGTTACATAATTTCCTATATTGATAATTAGACTAAATAATACTCAAATGAACTCAGATCGGTACATCTTAAAACTCTGAACTTACTGGCTAACAGCTTGCAGAATCTGTTTTTGTTCTTCTAAATAGGTGGTAAATGTTTTCACAAGTTTTTCTTCCAGGTCGTAAAATTCTTCAAGGTCTTCTATAGATAGAAAATGTCTTTGGGCCTGTGCAGTTGTACACAATACGAAAATTCCAACTAGAATTCTACGCACAAATAAATCTAAATTGATCATTTCCCCACTTTGCTACGATTAAAATACCTAATGTCTCTTAGATTATCTTCCCTAAATGCTACACAATAAAAAAGTATATTGGTCAAATAAATGTAGTGTACATTTAGATAAATCACAAACAAATTTAACTGTTATCGATATTTGAAGATAAAACCGTCATATCATTAGATATGTCATTAAAGGTAGGGAGGGAGTTTGGTAATAATTTACAGGACTCAACAACTGTGTTATTTCACCATCTGAGCAAACAAAATGTATTGAATGGTTTAATATTCCACATGTGTTAAAACTCAATGACACACACAAGTTAAACACTCTCTTTATAATTACATGGTGACAGAAGTTCAAAAGTTCCTGCTGTGTATTTTAACTCTAATACGGACAAGTGAAATACGTAAATTGAATGAAGTTCCCCACACTTCATTACCTTGTAAATCTTTGTTACTGGCAAAGATCAGCTGTTTCTTAGCCAAGCAATTAAACCAAATCATCAAAAACAAGTGGGTCCAGTTCCAAACCATCAGGGAGCAACAGTATTTTCTTAGCCAACAAACTTAAATAGATTTTTAGTAAGATAATTTTCCTTTTAACAAAGTTGTTTCGATATTATCTGGAGTTCCATGGGTATATATTGAAATGTATGAACTCATATATGGGGAATAGATAACCAAGTTTTATCCTAGCTACAAAATACAGGGCGATTGATATAAGTGTGCCAAATGTTTTATTCGAAAACTATACGAGATATCAAAATAAGTTATGGTAAGTGCCTTGGATTTTTATTTTAAAAATTTTAGTCAAGTCGAAAAAAATATTTTAGCCGCCATTTTTCCAATATGGCCGCCAACTTTTATTTTTCTTATAATAAAACAAGGGATGGAATAGCCTAAGGTTGACGGATATATCCGTCTCCGTCTGCTGCCCACAAGAATACTCAAGATTATTGGCAGTGTTCATATTTTGTGATTATCACTGAGGGCTGCAGACGGATATATCCATCCACCTTATGTTTTTTGTTGGGCAAAGACGGATATATCCTTCAAATCAAATTTTATTTTCTACATAACTTTTTTACAAAAATTAGATCAGCCCTAAGGAAAATCTTTTTATGATCCATGAATTATTTCAAGTGAAACAAATACAAAACACAATTACTATAGTTTTTTTTTTGTTTTTTTTTGGCAAAAAATAATTAAGCTCCAGCCCTTCATTTAATTTAGCCCTGGAAGGGTTCATTCTCAAAATCAGCATGCTCATAAGACATATACTCAATATTTCATAAGGATACAAAACTAGTTATAGAAATAATTGCATCCCATCATTGCGCAAACCAACATGAAAGTGAATAACTAACCGAAGCTGATCAAGATCGCCAGCTTTAATATTGAATAAAGTTGCCAAATTACAAGCCCCAATACAACATAGAATATTAGATTTGGCATTGACTAAGTTAACACCTTAGTTCTAAGACATTTCCTTGACTGTGCCATTAATGTACAACAGTGTAACGGCAAACAAGCATTCTTATCCTTATTGAAATGGAATAATTGGGAATAATCTGTCATTTTACACGTAGCCAAGGAATTCGCTTAACAGTAAGTGTAGTTTAGCTAATTCATATTTTTTAAAATACTGATAGATATGGATAAACTTAATTTTAACATTAAGTTCTTAAGAACGTTTGCTAGAAAGAAACTTTCTTTTGTAAAGATCAAACAAGTTTTCTATTTAAATTGTGTTGTATTAGCTACCGGTACTTTACTGATTGATTTTTATCATTGCGCCAAATATGTTTCATAAAAATATTTTGAAGAGAACATTTTTAATTTAATTTATGTCATGTTTTAGAGATTAATTAATCATACATATTAACAAAATTATAGGTCAGCAAACAAAATCGTTTTTGTATGAACCACGACAGAAAAACGTTGAATTTAGTCACTAAAACCTTGTTAACTTACAAAATATCTATTGCATTCACATACATATTTTAACTTTTTAACAGAACTATTAAATAATGAATTGTAGATTTAAATGTACTTGAATAAAGAGAAGAAACTGTTTTTAAAATAGTTAAAGAATTAACTGTAACTTTTACAGCTGTTTATAAGATTACAAACTTTACAATGTACTGTACTGCCTTTTGTACCTTCATTAAATATGACTAGTGCACATGTTGCTCAAATTCGAGCAATTGCAAAGTACTAGTGCACTTGTTGCTCGAATTCGAGCAATTGCAAAGTATTATAGGTGTTATTTTAAAACGAATAACCCTAACAGTCATAATTTCCTATGTAAAACAGTCAACTCCAAGATAATGTAATCAATCACTCCACTCCAGTTATCGAAACTGAAAACGAACTCGCTTTGAAAACAAACGCTCGTGTGTGAATCATGTGTTTACTATGATACAGCTGTGATTAATACAAATTATTCGTCTGTTTATAGTAAGTAAACAAAAGCATTTTTTCATAAGAAATACCGTACATTGGTATTTTGATGGCCTGTGGGGCAAAGTCTGAGGACTTTTATTACATGAATTGGGGAAAGGGGGCGTCTACACAAAACATACTTTATTTTGACACGTCGTTTGTAAAAATCCGTCCATTACTAACGGAGGAGTAGTGTTTCATAGAAATCGCCTTCACATATTATATATAAGGATTCCAGGCATTATTTCAAAACGAATAACAGTCATAATTTCCGATTACTTAAAAGAGTCAACTCAAAAATAATGTAATCAACCACTCACCTATAGTTATCAAAACTGAAAACGAACTCACTCTGAAAACGAACGCCCACTCCAATCCAGTTATTGAAACTGTAAACAAACTCACTCTGAAAACAAACGCTTTTGTGTGTATCATATGTGTTTACTATGAACCTCTGTAGTTAATACAAATTATTCGTCTGTTAAATAGTCTAAATGTCTTCTTTACAAGAAATACATTGGGATTTTGATGGCCTGTGGGGCAAAGCCCGAGAACTTTTATTACAGGAATTGGTGAAAGGGCGTGTCTACACAATAAATACTTAATTTTGACACATCGTTTGTAAAAACCTGTCCATTATTAACGGAGTAGTAGTGTTTTGTAGAAATCGCCTTCACGTATTATATAAGGATTCTGATTATATGTATAAAATAGAAAAATATTGAAACAACAACAAAAAAGTTTATCATTTAATTTACTATCATAGCTAAGTGATTACAGTGTCAGGAAGGTAAAATTATAGATAAGAAAGTAGTTAAGATGGCTTAGTCCTGAGAAACTAGCTCAAGCTTAAGTCTTTAGCCTAAGAAACTGCATCAATCTGAGTTTCGACTAAACTGTCTTTTACCAAAAAGTCCTGGTTAAAATACCCCCGCAGCAGCAAACCTGCAGACTAAGGGAATTTCCGCTTACGTGAATTGATTTTTAAATAAATCTATTTAAATAACATTAGATTTAACGAGTACCTTGGTTTGCTGGTACAGGGAGGCTAATAAAGTGTGTATTTTAGTAAAATATTAATAGCTTAGAATAAAATAAATAAATTTGCCAAGTTTGATCTTAATGTATCCATAAAAAAGCAAACTACAACATTTTACAATATTCTACATAATAATAACATGGAAATTTTAAATTTATTAAAGTTTTTTTTGTTTTCGTTATAACCAATAACCGTAGAAATACTCTTTATATTAAGTTATTTGTTTTCCAAGCTATTTATAATGGTTTGGAGGTAAATTGAGAAATTTTGTGTTTTAAGGGTCAAAAATGAGAAAAACCAGATTTTACCCCATAAACAAAAACAACAAACAAAATGGTTCTGTTCTATGATGTTCAATAGCATTAAAGTTACAAGGTTACAGCTAGTAAAGTTACAGCTAGTATATATATATACATATAGCCTATAACATTTTGAACGGTTGGTGTTTTTGGCCTCTGGGGTCATCAAAATGAAAAAGTTAATTGGTCCCGGGCCTAGGTCTTACCGCGCCACCTACGTTAATAGCTACTTCCTTATGGGGAAATTCGCTAAAAACAGCTGATCATAGTAACAAAAGCATCACAAGGAACCTTATTCCTTTCTACAATCATTGTTTACTTTTAAAAAAATGAGTTGCTGAAAGTGATTTTTAAAGCTGAAATACCAAATCATTACATTAATTTATTTATAACCTATTATGTAATATATTATAGTGGAATTGTTTCAGCCAGGTAGATACTGCATCAACCATGACAGAAGACACGAACGGTTGGAATGTTCCAACCTCAAAGTTGTCCCAAGTATGCCTCAGACTGACTGGAATATCTACCACCAACTACAGGGTGTTCCTGATTAGAACCTCTCTGATGATAATGACATCAGTTCAAGCCATCATTTCTCTATGCATCCATTGGAACGACGGGCCAGAAGAGGTTTTCCGGATCGCAAACGATGTCAACGCTATCGTCTACGGTACTTCTGTAGCCATCACGTTCGCCTACTTCAACAAACACATCACCGACCTCTTCTCAATGCTGCACCGAGGCTTGTTTCAATATTCCTTGCCACTTTGTCAAGAACAACATACCGCCAAGGATGCAGCGATGAAGAGAATCAAAAGAATCGAGAGGATCTTTAACATCTCTTCTGTTTTGGGCACAGTATTCTTCTTTTTGAGTCCGATGGCTTTTGGTATAGCGACTTTCGTGACAGGATCAAAAAGGAGATTACCACTCCCTTTGTCCCCTTGGTATCCATTTACGATCGACTCGATATATCTTTACCTTGTTCTCTATTTATTTGAGTTTTCAATCTGTGTGACCATAGTTATCTACCACATTTCTTGGCAAACCTCTCTTTACTCAGCTATCATTTGCCTTCAAGGTGAAATGAAGATGTTGGTGATTGCTTTTCAAAGGATAGATGGTAATGCTTCGGTGATGGCTGCAAGAGATCGTGTAACAAGACCAGGGAAGGCCCCTGTGCTGAGAAGTATTCAATATTACAAAGAGCAATGTCTCAAGGAGTGTATACAACATCACCAAATGATAATTAAGTAAGTTTAATGTATACCAGTATATTTTTCAATACTGTATTTTAAGCAGAATAAATGAAAATAAATATGTAAATGAAGAAAATAATACCTATATCCCTCTCCTGGATTGTAAAGAGGAGGTTTCTACAGATATGTGTGTCTGTGTTTGTTTACAAAAACTGCTGAACTAATAACTGGGATGGTAACATTTTACTTGGAGCTGGTATAATGTTATAGACAAATATAATGAATTTAGACCGGCAGCAGTGCTGGGGTTAGCATATGTTCCGGCGCCCACCACTAGGAGTGTCGTGTAGTTACGGCGCAGACCGCTGCAGCGTCTGCTGATAGCATACGGCTCCTGCGCTCCTTGCCTGCAGCGGTGTGTGCCCTATACGAGTACTTCGCCTTTCAAATAAAGACATTTTTCATTTCATTTCATATTGGTTCTATGATTATTTGTTAATATGTTTTACTTTAAGTATTCATAATGCCCCATTGCAAATGCTAAGTGAGAGTATAACTGCAATAATTATTTTACACTTATATGCCAACCCCGTACGAAGGACGGGTACTCTGCTAGTTATTAATATTTACTGGTAGATTATTTTTATTTACAGATGTGTCTCAACTTTAAACGGTGCATTCAAGATCACAATCTTTGAATATCTGCAATGTGCAACATTCATATTCTGCCTCAATGCAATGAGACTTACTCTGGTAATAACATATTTTAAAACATTACACCAATTTATTTCAACAACAATATTTTTCACATTATTACTAATTACAATTTAAGTCGTAAAATTTTATAATCGAACATGTTAAAATGTTAGCAAAAATTACAGACAATATTTTAGTAAAGTAGATTATATTTTAATGTGTATCATTTTCGAAGACAAAGTGCTTGTTAGGTCAAGTGGTTCAAATTCCATCAATATAATTGATCATGGATTTGCCTGGTATTGGACCTGTTACAGTACAGCAAATTCCTAGATGCAAACACTAATCTCAATAGCCCTTGCAGTGTTGCTATAAAATAATCCCTTATCTTGTGAAAATAAATTTCATCTGGACTGTTTGCTTCTTCTAACCTTGCATTTGGAAGCTACAAATCTCTGTACTGGCAGGCCATATTTTACTGTAAAATGTAAATAGGTTACTTTAGAGCAGTATAAATTGTGTTCTACCATAAAAAATATAAGACATTACAATGAACAAATCTTAACCATTAACAGATCCCACACAAAAATCGGTAGAACTGTTTACGTGTAAGAAAAAAACGAAAGTGGGCCGGTAACATTTTTCAAAAATAGAGGCTTGGTAAAAATACAAAATTTTCTATTTAGAAATACAAAGCTTTTATTAAATGCTTCTTTACATGAAAAAAGTAATGTTTTATTTGTATTATTATTTGTATGTAAAAAATTTAAAAAAGTATTTTACGTCACTACCCGCTAAACACACAGTTGTGTCATTCTAGTTTTTATTCTCAACTTGTAAAATATTATGTTACATCACAGTAACTAAACAAACTTTATATCAAGATAAACGTCAGAATCTCCTGTGTAAAATGATATAAAGCAATATCTAACACACAGTGATGTTTTCTGTTGATACTTAGCAGTTAAAGAAATTGATGCTCAAACGACTGGTGACTAGACGTTTGCCAGTAGAGGAACTAGTTTTAGCGAATAGTCAATAGTCATTTGCCAGATGCAGGGTTAATAAACTCAACAAATGTCAACATAAACATTAAGAGTAACTACCCAAACACCAGGCTTATATTAACTACCCAAACACACCTATATTATTCCAAGTTTAGTACAGTGAAAAGAATTGTAAAAGTGAATTTTCTAATATTTCTTTATATATAACAAATTATAGTAGTGAGTACCAGATTAGCAGGGCCAATTATAGACATTTTTTGATTATAAGCTAACAACATTCAGCCCCCCCCCCCCAATAAAAAATTAAAGTTTTTATTACCTATATTTTTTGTGGGGTGCTGGATTTTGGTAAAATCAATGGGGCTGCAGAGTTAAGTACTATTTTTTTTTTTTTTACTAAAATTTAACTCTTATTTTCTAAAATTTATTATTTGGAAAATTAATTATAATTACAAATGGAAATTATTACAAAATAAACGTAAGGTATCATCCCTAAGTGAGAAGGCATATAAAACTTCACTAGCTTCAAAACATGCTCAGTTTTTTTTTTGTGCAAATTCAGAAACAGTGAACATAGTCATCTACTTGAACATGTTTTGATACAATTTATGATTACAGGAGCCAGTAGCAATTTCTGTGCATACAGTGACTTCTGTTGGTGAAATCACTCCTGTGTTACTTCAGCTGTTCCTTATCTGCTTTTTTGGTCAGCTGCTCAGGAATGAGGTTAGTTGTACTGGCTGTTTGCCAATTACCAATAGAAGACTATAGTTTGGCCGCTTAGAAAATGACCTGCGCGCTAATGCTAAACCAATGCTGGAGGAGGTCGCTTTCTAAGTGGCCGAACTATAGTGGGAACGAGCCATAGAAGCAAAAGATGCAATAGTGTACTAATAGGTCGCATTACAACTAGCCCATGATAGTGCACTAGCTATGTTCTAAGTCACTAAAGGGCAAGTATTTACACACAGTGCTAGCTGTCTACCTGCTAATATACGTTTCATACTGCACTAAGTTACTCCCTAAGCAAATTAACGCTAATACTAGAGCTGTCTAACTGCGGTTTTAGATTCTTTTCTTGCTGAGTCTTTACGAAGCTTGAGCTTCTGGCTCGAGGAGAGCTTTCAGACATTCATTTTTCAGCAAAGACTATGAGAATCTAAAGCTCTAGCCACGAAAGAACAACTGCACAAGCACATCTTTTAAAAGCGTTTTACTTTTGTAATAACTGAGTGAAATTGTGCCATACAGTAAACGCTAACAGCTAGAAAATTTAGACATTTTGAAAGATTGAAAAGTAAATTTAGAGGTATAAACTTGCATGAAAGGTATAACCTAGACATTCCATCCCCATGTTAAATTTGTAGCCAGGTGTTTTATCAAAATTGTCATAGTTGATGTGAGCCACCTACAGATTGCGCTGATCTAAATTACTGAATTCTGTTGAGTACACAAACTTTTTTACGAAGTCAAACTTAGAGAATGACTTATGGTGAGCTATAGCCACTGTTATGACCCATCAACCTGGTCAGAAATAACAAATAAGGTATCAAATATAATTTTTGACACTAGTGCATTTTGTGACTGGCTCACACAACTACGTTCTTTTTTAGTAAAAAACTTGGTGACAGCTGGTCCATATAGATGGGATGTCTACTTCAGTGTCCAATAGTCAATGGTATAACAAACAGGGTATATTATAATCAAACATACATGTCTTCTTCCACTATCACTATTCTTGGGACTAACCACCAGCTGAGCCTCAATATTTTCTATTCTCCACAGTTCCTTCCCCATCTACCATCTCATTCCTCTCTTCTCCACATCCCTCTATCTCCTTCTCTTTTGAGTTCCCATTGCTCGTTGGACAACATTGTTTTATCAAAACATATTTATGATTTCAGGATGACCAAGTTAGAGAAGCATTCTACGGATGTGGGTGGCCAGATCAAACAAAACGTTTCAAGCAGATGTTGTATATCATCTTGACCAGATGTAAGAAACCTCTATGCCTATCTGGAGGCTTGTACACCGTTGATATGCGAACTTACAGTCAGGTAATATATGAATTTGGAACCATCTTGTTGTAATAAAGATCGCTCATTATAGGTATGATGGTTAGTTTATGCCTATATTATTAAAGAGATTATTTGGAAATGTCTAATCCTTCTTCCTAAGTGGAGACTGAGCTCGTCTGGTAATCAAAATGCCACAAGTTCCGATTTTGTGAAAAGACAGAATCTTTATATAGTTACTTGAAACTGGACAAAACTATTCTTGGTCATTGGGATTTTAATAAAACTAGTGCCCCTGTTGCTCGAATTTGAGCAATTGCTAAGTACTACAGGTGTTATTTTAAAACGAATTCCAACCAAGTCAGCAAATATTTGTAGCAAACTGTTATATTAGCAAACTTATTGACTGTTTAGGATTAACCTATGCTCTTCTTCTCACTTTTGATTTCTGACAACAGCTGGAGTTTCATGACAATTTTTGTTTCCAATGTTAATCTTATGGAGAAATACGAAGCTTTAAAGGGCTCCAGGGCCTCTCTCTCTAATTATTTACCTAAAAAGAAAGTTTCCTGCACAACTTCACGTTACGCTCTTTCCAATGACACCAAAAACATGTCAATCGGTTCAGTAGTTTCGGAGAAGTAATTGTCACAAAAATCCTGCTTGCGTATTAAATAAGTATATAGATATAGATGGTCTGAGCTAAAGGATAAGCTGATGATAGTCATGCAGAAACAAAACTATTTTCGCATTAATTCAACACTCATCTTTCAATCTTTGCCATGAATATGCATTGTGAAGTGTTGGCGTCATATAGATCTAATCCAATCCAAGACCTGGGATTGGCCACAATTCCACCTGCAGAGTGCAGAGTGACTTGGAATAAAGAGCATCGACGATGGCCAAGATAACTTTGCAGCCGTTAAAAAAGGTCATGTACTGATTTCAATTCATAATTCAACAATGTGTGCAAAACCAAGTACGCATTTTACTGACACTGTATTAATAAATATGGCACTGTATTAAATTTAATATATAGATGATTATTTTTAAGGTGAAACATTAATTTCCACTCATTTACTTAGGATTTATGTTAAAACAACTATCTTTTTTTCTAAATGAATTATTTGTGATTTTCCAAAATCGTGCCGTTTCACTGCCTCAACCTGTATATTTACTGTCATGTGAGTTAACAGTATAACCGTAAATAGATGTGTGTTATTAGATGTATCATTTTTTACTTTCCGTACATAATTAAAGACAAAATGGCGGATATCTCTATAACGAGGTGTTTTTGGAAAAAATATTAGTTACAAAACACTCTCTAATGGTTTGACAGTTTAATTTTTTTACAGATTCTTCAAGCTGCATACTCATACCTGAACTTTCTACTTTCTACGCACCAATAGGAAGGAATTTCACCTTAAACATTATTTATTGAACACTAACTTGCAATATTCACTTGCAACACAAAATATATTCTTATTAGACCTTCAATGCATGTGTTATCCTTGACGGCAACACTGGTACACATCAGGATGCTGTGTTTTATTAAAGCAACTAAGAAGAATAGGTAGGTACATTTACAAGCTGTCTAGTATATGGTTTAGTTAATCGACGTGATTAAGTAAATCCGATGTTATGCACCCACAGAGCACTAATCTCAATAAAAAAAGATTCTTTCATCAGCACATTTATATTTTAATTTATTCACCCAAGGCCACTTCAAATGTGTGTAATCTATCAATTATCAATTATCAATTATTTAAGATGGGGACGCCACTATGTGCGTATTTTAACCCAAATATGAGTGAAGGATGAGTGGCGCGATCTTGTAGTCTTGTTAGTGACTAAGGCTGACATGTTCCTTAGACACAGCTGTTAATTAATAGCCCATACAGCTAATGGCAACTAAGGGACCTACAGTTTATTGTGGAATCCGAACCACATTTTTTCCTCGTAATTAACAAATTGGTCTAATTATTAGGATAGTACTGCGGATAGTCGTAGTACTCACTCGTGCGGACGTTAATCCACACCAGGTAGCATCGCATCCACAGTGCATCCCTATAATTATCCACAATTCATGACCTCCTAGTAGCTGGATTACAGGACGACGCCACCCGTCCCAGTCTTATTCCCCATGATTAAAATTGCCTCCAGGAATGCAACAAACAGAATGTAATTTCTTTTTTCCAAAAAAATATATTTATATAGCAGAATATTATACTTAATGCAGGAGACTGGGACGGTGGTGTCGTCCTGTAATCCAGCTACTGAGGTCACAAACTGAGGATATTTTTAGGCATGCACTGTGGATGTGACCCTGGTGTGGATTAACGTCCGCACTAGCGAGTACTACGACTATCCGCAGTACCATCCTGATAATTAGACCAATTTGTTAATTACAATAAGGTAACACTATACGCTGTAGGTCCCTTAGTTGCCATTGACAATATGGGATATTAATTAACAGCTGTGTCTAAGGAACATGTCGGCCTCAGTCACTAACAAGACTACAAGATCGCGCCACTCATCCTACACTCATCTTTCTTCATAATTGGGTTAAAATACGCATATAGAGGCGTCCCCATCTTAAATAATTGATTAATTGATTGAGTGATTATGGCTACCTACAACAGTAAAAAAAATTATGGTTATTTAAAAGTCTTTTAACACAAAAACCAACCTCGCTAATTAAAAATCTCTTAGTCTGCAATATTGCTCAAAATAATCAAAGTAAAAAAGGAGGTCAATCAAAACTAATTTTTGATGGTCCAATTTTCTAAAAATTTGATGGTTTGATTTTTACCGTGCTTTTTTACTGCATATTGATGTAAAATATAGCTTCTAAAAACAGCAATAATGTAACTAACAACTGCACAGAGTGCAGCTAGCAGACGTTGCTAAATAGGCCCTACTACATTAAGATGTTAGAAATTGAACATTGATACAAAAAATATCTATTGCTTTTAACTTAAGTATTTATTATTCAGTAACATTTAAACTCTACCAGAAGATAACTGCCTGGTAATTGAAGTTTTAGGTGATTAGTTTAATGGTATAAATTTTTATTACACATATATGATGATACAATAAGCACACAGACACTTAACTTAATGCTATGTTGGAACTGGTTCTTCAGCAACTTTTGGGATGGACAGTTTTTCATAACAAGAAGTCTTCAAAGGCAGAAGAGGAGCAACTGCATTAGGATCTGTTGCCAACAACAAAGGGATCTGGAAGAAAACACACTAATCAGAAAACACCCAACTCAGAAGCCTTATTTACAATTGAAAGACATTCAACCCATGGTTTAATTATATAGGTTTTTACTTTGATAAAGGTTTTTACTTTTTATGATTACATATTTAATGCAGTATTGGAGAATTTTAACGTTGTTGAGTGCACAGGTGTAGTGTGCTGCAATATTGGGGTTTAGTATTTGGACTTATCTAAAAGTAAAATAGTTTTCTGTGCTGCATTCTGTGGAAATATTGTGGCACTATTCCAAATCATGACTAATACAGAATGTTGTGATTATTCAAACCAACAGTTGGTGAAAGTAAACATCTGCTTTTAAATTATATTTATTTGTGAACATTGTCGTTCCAAAAGTTTGACATTGGACCTCTCTGGGGCGGAGCCCTTTTGACCGATCTGCTCCAAACTTCACACAAACCATCCTTGAATAATGCTTATAATGCCTGAACGTTTCATTACAATCTGTCGAGCGGTTTCAGAGTCCATATTTATTTATTTATTTATTTATTGAGTTACATGTCAGTACATCGTAATAAAAGGACATATTGTCAATGGTTAAATCTATATACTTATATTTAATACGCAAGCAGGTTTTTTGTGACAATTCGTAAATATTACAATGGAAAAAAGCGAGAGAGCCTGGATAAATTGATGCACTAAAAAGAAAACTGAATTAAGACTGCGCTGGATAGGTAGCACAGCACACCCTCAGCCTTCTGCGATCCATCCAGCGCCCCAGCTATATAATTAACCATTTGTGTTATTGATGTTTGGGTATTACTTAAGGTAGATACATATATACATACATACATATATATATATACATACATACATAGTTCCTCTTTTATAGATATAGATGTAACTTTAGTTACATAATTTTTATCCAACACTGAACTATTTTTCTACATTGTGTCCGGACACGTTTTAGTATGCATAACTGTTGTCTTTTAGTCAGTGGTTTAGTGTTGTTAATGAGTATGGGGCTTGATGACCTGGAGAAAGTAAGCGGATTGAGAAGTTAGCAGATGTGGTTCTTGCGAATGACCGAGGGCAAGTGCAGTTTGAAAAATGCGTACAGCTCTTTTATATTAGCCTACACTAACTTTAGGTGTTAACTAATCACCTGTAACTCTGCTAGTTGACCTTCTCGTGAGGTAAACTCTCTGAGAATGAAGTCTGTAGTGAAGTCGTGATAGTACCTGGTGTCATTGACTCGTACCATCACATTGTCAACTCGCAGGAAATACCTCAGAAGAACAAAGAACCCAGATGGCATCACTCTCTGGAATAGCAAATTCATCATCTTTAAAATTCTTTTGATTGACAAATATTTAGAAAACACATGTTTATGAATTGTAATAAATAGGCTACCGATTATGTTCAGGGACAATTTGCCAATAGTGAGGCGTCAAATTGGAATATTTAGATTCATTTTCAGTTAGATTCTGCCAAACACAAACATTTTTAAGCTGTTTTGCCAATAGTCTACTTACTCATTCAGAATTTAATTTTAATTGAAGGAGGTGTCACCAAAATTTTGCTATTCTCAGTATTACAGTAGAACCTTGATAACAAGACTCCCATGGGGAAAAAAAGACTTGTTATCAAGGTTGACTTCTTATCGAGGTTTGTAATAACATGTGATTAGGGGTAAAATAATTTTGAGGGGATTTGAAAATGACACTTGTTATCAAGGGTGACTTGTTATCGAGGGTCTTCTTATCAAGGTTCTACGACACTGTATTATAATATTGAAACTTAACTTAGTGAAACTAACTATTCAGTATCCATTGTAGATACATGTACAATGTATTTACATTTGTATCTTATTGAGCGAAGGTTCTATCTCCAATCTATAGGTACTTATAAAAGGCAAATACCACTCACTCACTGAATGACAGACTCATTATATCTAAAAAACTTTCTTTTGAGAAATCCCATCAGGCCTCTGCCCTAGTGGCCTTTAAAGTTCAAATTTTATCATTATGGGGACAAGATTTGTTTACATTTGAACAGATAAGAATAATTTTAAATCTACACAATATTAATTAACGGAACCGCTTATATATTGTTGTTCAAAATACAAGTTGTAAATATTTATCGAATCAGTTTGGAATGGAAGTATTTGAATTAATTGTGTAGTTTTGAAATTGGTGTTTTACTGCATTATTTTTAATAGTTCAAAGGAACAATGATTTGCTATCAAGTTTCATATATCTATAGTCAGGGATGGTACCACTTCTTCCTTAATTTATAATTGTTAATGATAGGTCCTCAAGAATGATAGCCTAATAAGAAATTTGTTGTGCACAATAAATAACATTTGACACCCAACTCAAGACAAAATATAAAATGTTGAAATCAACTCACAATTTTTACACTGAGTGTGGTGATACCATTGTCGTGCAGTTCATCTTCAAACAGGTTAAGTTCATGATAAAAGAGTATTTGCTCCTTCAGTTTGAGCCGTTCCAAATCTATCCTTAATTCCGTTGGCTCCACTAACCAGCCTTCCGAGAGGCTGCCTTTGTAGTTGGTGCTGAAGGTCCAGTCAAACGGATGTAATTCTTTCTCCGTCAATCCCGTATCTTGCCTACACAAACAAGTTACTTAAACTTAAGGCATTTTTGATTTGTTACTTTTAAGCTTTAGTGTACGAGTCAACTTAAAGATGTTGATCTTTGGATTTTTATAGAAAAAAAATAATACTTCTACAAATATTTTATGATTTACTCTACTTAAATTATGTTGAAACCCCTTGAAAAACTTATAAAAATAAATAAATAACTTTCCTTCATAAAAACCCCATTTAAGTTATTGGTTTTCCAACAAACTCTATCTGTCAAATGTTTTGATAATTTACAAATCCAGACAATAGTAGGCCCTAAGCCTATATAAGAATGAACGGCACTTGATAAGCAGAAGCTATTGAGGTAATCAGATAAGTAGGCGGTCGGTAAATCTTCAAAGAAAATATTTTTTTTAATACAGAGTCCAAGGAAGTTTAAGATTAAGACCTTTACATTTCAAATTCAGTGTATATGAGTTCTTAAAAAACATAACGACTTATAAAATATACTAACCTAACACCCTAGAGTAAATAAACGAGCACTAATAGGCTACATAGAAAAAACAAACAAAAATTGGGAATCCAACAAAAACAAACAATCTTTTACTTTAGGCTGGTAAATCCTATTTTTTTTTTTTTTTTTTTTTTTTTTTAAAGAGGTTGGCGGCCTCATTTAACCTTGCATTTGCCCGTCCACATAGACTAAGCGCCCGTGCGTGGATCGTTAACAGCAAAGCAAGGAGTGAGCCGGTACAGTACAAAGGTGAACTGTACTGATAAAATGTTATCGGCAGTGACCAGGATCCGAACCCACGACATCGCTGCCTTGGGCCCGAAGTCCGCGACGCTACCGACTGAGCCACCGACTCACTACAAAAGTCCGTGCAAGTCTCACTACCGTCACTATGCGTAGGCTAAGCTGGAATAGACACTTGCCAATAAGGGAAATGTAGTGTTACCCTATGTATTTACTAAATGTTGGTATAGCCTACTCAATATATTCTAAATAAATACACTGTGATTAGAAAGATCACTAAACAAGCCAGGGTACCTAGGTTAGGTTTAATCATAATATTCAAATACTTCAGCAATACATTTCTAAATAAATAAATACACTGTGATTAGAAAGAAACAAGGTACCTAGGTTTAATCCTAATATTCAAATACTTCAGCAATACAATTAATAATTACCGAGATTCCTTCCAAGCCTCAGAACATGCAATCTTGATATCACGTTTGCCGGTGATGACAAGCTTGAGGGCATCCAGAGCATTGAAGCAGATACGAGGACCTGACGCGTGTAGCAGTGTCAATTCATTTTTTGGAAATAACATATCCGGCATGTGTGGCAAGCTGAGCTGACGAGTGTACCTAAAATTTGAAGTAAAGTTACATGCTTGATCATATTTTAATTCTATTACAAAAACAGAACCTATTCCTTCTTAAATTCTAGACAAGAGAGCCAGATAGTTAAGGTTGGATGGATTTGTGATAGAATCAATTATAGCCTACTATAGACTCCCAATTATACAAAAGTGGATTGACCACAATCATAAAAAGATCATTAACAAAATACCATCCAAGTTATACTTGAATAGATAACTTCCGTATCGGTGTGGTGGGGCGATCTGACTTTTGGGTAAGAGGGAGAACTGCCAGGTTGGCTACCAGACCAATAAGGGCAAGGAGAGCCTGACGCGGTTTCCATAGCAACAGGTGCTGTTGCCATATCGTACCGCATCTCCACGCTCGCACATGTGCAGTTCCTCTAGTGTTATAATAGATGACAGTGACTACTTTGAGTAAAACAGTATACTGTCCGCGACAGTTCCATTTTGATGTTGGAATAGTATATTCCATATATTTATACATAAGGGAAAAAGGTAAATACTTTTTGGTAACCGTTTAATTTAAAAGTGATAGTAATATTTATACATGTTTAAAGATTTAAGGCATAGTGATATTACCGCACAAAATAAGATAAAATTAGGAAAATTACAAAATAAAGGTTTATGTCTAAAAAACAAAAACGGTGTTACATAAATTTTAAAATGAAACTAACTCATCTTTTTTAAGATTTTTCCATTATTTTTCCACTCCAAATATAGGCCTAATAAGAATTTTAGTGCTTTACACATATTATTTCAAGAAATTTTGAGTTTATTCGTAACTTTTTTCTTTTAAAAAGGGAAATATATCCTTTGCATGTTTGCCCAACTCAGCTATAGTTTTTACATAGGCAAGCAATGTACAAATCAAAAAAGAACTCTGTGGGCGAAGACACGAGAGACTGCACCGAATCAGATGACACGACCACCCACTCATCAAAACAAAGATGATATGAATAATGATGTTTACAACAGATGTATACAGTATATGCTGAGGACCAGAGGGCAGGAACTCTTAATACACAGTGTAACGTTGTGTGCGTTCGCGTTGTTGACAAGTACCCTTCGTGCATATTACGTCCGCAACAACGCGGCAACAGCAGTCTCCCCACTGCTCGCTACCCCTCCACACCTCTCCGATTCGGAAGTTGTATCTATTCAACCATAGTTACTTTAGACAGAGACAACTAAGATGTTACAGGAGGCCCATCATCTCATGGGCTGACAGTAGAGTTAATGTTGCTTACTTCACCTACTACCAATGAGTCACCGATTACAACCAATGAGTTGATAAGGATTTTTTGAGAGGATAGCAGGCTTACCTGCAAGGGAAAGAGTCCAAACTAGCACAGGAAACACAAACTTTACACTATGAACACAAAACATTAGAATATGTCACTGTCACTGACAGCATTTCCAACTACAGTAAGGAAGAGAGAGTTTTCTTTATGTCCAAAATGGTGGCCAGTGAGTTTAATGTTAACTCACTGGTCACCATTTTGGACATAACGAAAACTCTCTCTTCCTTACATCGTGTGACACGGACTAACCACTAGAGAGTACATCACAACTTTTAGGTCTATTTACTAGTCAATCAAATCAATTAGGATATTCTAAACTGAAAGGAGAGCATAAAATGTCAAAAGTTAAAACAATCACTGGTAGGTAGCCTATAACAAATTAATAGATTTCTTCATGGATTAACTTAGGCCTAGGCCTAATCTTAAGCTTGAGTCATATTTGATAAGTTACCTGCAAAACTGGCATTCTTCTGGAGATTCTTTGACACAAGAGCCATTATTTGTGCATTTTGAGCTTAAAATATGGCTTTTTTCATATTTCACTGTCCAGCCTTCAAATTTCTGCTCTTCTCGGTCAACTGGAAGCCGAGTGATATCAATAAAGTTCTTCACAGACATTATTCCCTGAAATTTAAAAAATCAAACGTTAATTTAACTTTAACCTTGTTTTTCCTATGAAAATTCCAAGTTAGTCATACCATACAAGGTAACTGGGAGATTAGGCCTATAAGTTATAAGTTAACACCTTTTGCACTAGATATTTTTTTTAGTTTGCAGTAGAATACGGCCTAAGTTATATGAGGAAAGTGTTAACTTACTTACAGGATTTGTGACGGAAAAGCAAAGAAAAGCTTCAAGACGTTTAATCCTACTTTGATGTTTTAAGTTAAGCCGTGTTTACACCGGAGTTTGAAACACGAGTTGCAAACAGAGATTGCAAACACCTCTAAAAACGCACATTTTTAGACAAAACATTTCGCTGTTGCAAACAGTTTTTCAGTGTTTGCAACAGAAATTTGTGTTTCCACTTGAAGTCGGTAAAGATCAAAGGGAGTTGCAAACTCTTTGAATTGCAACACTAGTTTCGGTCATTATGAGCCGTTGAAACACGAGACAGAAACATTTCTCCGCCATCTCCTACGCTGCCACCTCCAGTCTCACTCACGAAATCACTCGCACCCACCCTGTGTCTTGACTCAGTGTTATTTAACTCTAGAACAGCCAAACGACTTTTTTAGTCGTTTAGTTACGGTAAGATCGTGGCCAAACAACTGTTTTAGTCGTTTGCTACAGACTTGCTTTCTAACATACCGGTAGCCTATATTTGGAACTGATAATATGTATTACGTAGAACTGTACATAATATACAGATTTACGTCAACTATAACGGAGGGAAAATAAATAAACCCATATTAGAGTTTCGCGCCTCGCGGGCTCTGTCGATCGGGAAGCAAAATCAATTCGTGGCAAAACAATTCTACGTCTTAGATGATATTGATAGGTACCACTGAACCTAGGGATTCTTACTCTACGCTCTGTCCGTCGATAGATTTTGTCTAGCATTGTTAGTTTACAAGCTGTGATTTTTTTACAAAAACCAATTGCGTGCATTGACAACACGACACACGCCACTGCGGCTAAAATAACATCCTCGCACTTGACATCCTCGGAAGGACTGATCCCAGGAACCAGTAATAATCAAGGTCGAAATTGTTTCAAACATTTTCATGAAACATGGAAACAAAACCATAAAAATAAAAATTGCAAACTTTTATTTGAGAAAAGAATTTATTAATAAAAATAAATACATCTGCCTTAAAAAATAAGGTTGCCGATGACACAGAACAAATTTTACACATATAAAATATTGAAGGATTAACCCTCCGAGTGTCCATAGTTTAGGCCTTAATGTCCACCTATTTTTGGCGCATTTGCAAGGTTTTATTAAAACGGATCTGAGAAGCTTACAACAATGTTAATTCTACTGTTCTATATACCATTTTGTTTGGAAAATCATGGGCTTCAATATCAAAACATAAGAAATATTTGTTTCAAACAAATTTTTTAGGTAAAAAAAAATTATTTTGGAAAAATTGAAAAAAAAATAAGTTCGCGCTCAATGAAATTGTATAAATTATAGGCCTATAAATATTTGAAAATAGCCACTTTGTTCTAAATTTTATGAGGATTACAAATATATAATAATATAAGGAAGTAGATTTGCAAATGATAAATAAGTTATGGGCAAAAAACAGATTTCAGTACATAGCGTTTAGCTAAGAATGCATAGCCTAACCATAGCTAGGAATCTGGCTGATAATTTACATCAATATCACTACCTACTTCATCCGGATCGTCAATAAGTCCTTCAACATCACTAATATCATCTTCTAGTGCATTACGTATATCACTACTGTCCATTTTTACCACTAAAAACGACGATAAACGTACAAAACCACACAAGTCACCGATGTGAAATAACCAAGTTGTCTAAAACCCGAACGTCAGCTGTCTGCTACAATTACGATCGGCTCGGAGAACATAAAGCGCTTAGAGACAGACCTCTGGAGAAAGCTTAGAATCTAACAAAAAGAACGATACCTAACTCGATCCAGTTCAATCCGATTCAGTCAGTCATAGAGCCTTCGCCGTAAACGATGTTCGTGTGTCGAAAAATCGACGCGTGACACTACACAAAGTGTGTCGTGAGTCGATTTTTCGACGAGTGACGCTCGGAGGGTTATACAGCTATAAGACTGCAACTGATGTTTGCAGTAAAAGTTTGCAACTTTTTACAGTTTGAAACTCCAGTATATTAAACGCGGCTTTAGACGTCTACTTAGGTCTGTCCAAGGAACAAACTGGGAGGATAATACAGTGAAAGAAACTAATTGTCTTAACTTAGGCTAGCCTACTGTTTTTTGTTGTTGTTTTTTTTAACATTGGCAATGTTAATGAAATGTAGACTCAAATGAAATTTGATAAAAGGCTAGGACTGTATAAGTTAGGCCTAGGTTACAACCTAGGCCTAACTTATACAGGCCTAGGTACACTGCACATGTTACACTGCACATTACTAAGTAATGTGCAGTGTCTGCGTAATAAAGTAGCTGAGCTTGATGTTTTATGTGATCAGAATAACTTGGATGTCTTGTGTGTATCCGAACATTGGCTAGTTCCAGAAGAAGTTGGATACTACGATAAGGTCAGCGATCTTGAGCTTGCCTCTTACTTCTGCAGGGCAAATCCTAGTGGTGGGACAGCTATATTTGTAAACTCTGGCGTAAGTTTTGAAGCTATAGATCTAAGTGACTTCTGTGAAGAACTGGAAGGTGAGTTTTCTGCTGTACTTTTGCACGAGTTTAACTTAATAGTAGTTGCCATGTATCGCTCCCCGAATGGCCAGGTAGAACGTTTTTTTGCCTTATTAGAACTTTGCTTAACTTTCTTGATTTCTTTTGGCCTGGCAGTGGTTATTGGTACTGACCACAATATTGATCTGCTAAAGTCAAATAGAGAATCAGTTGATTTCCTAAACTTGCTTCGGAGTTTTGGGTTTTATAGTAGCGTACTTAGCCCGACTAGAAATAATGCATCCCTTGACTCATTCATCACCAATCTGGACTCATGGAATTATCAAGTTGTGGTTAGTGACGATCAAATTGCTGATCACAAACATATATTCCTGAAATTAGATTTGTGTATACCACCAAAAGACACGAGTGATTTTATACCCAAAACGGTGTTCTTTAGGTTAGGCTTGAAAGATGAAAACCGTATCAAATCTTTCTGTGACGATATTGCGAACCAGACAGCCCAATGGTTTAATGAATTGTGTGTTCTCCCAGCAAATGAAGCTTTTGATGAGTTTTTCTCAAAATTTAAGAGAGAATTTGATCTACATTTTCCACTTAAACAAAAGACTGTAGATTCGGCTTGTCGTGATACTCGGGGATCAAACAATAGGATCAAAAACTGGTACACGAGCGAACTTGCAGATTTTAAGAGCCATATACTCCTGGTTCATGACATTTCAAAATGTGAACCGGGTGTTCTCCCATACCTTCGTGAATTAAGAAGAGAGTATCGTGTCCGTCTCCGTGAAGCAAAGCAATCAGCCGCTGCAGCCCACATCGCTAGTTCTGCCAATCCCTGCAAGGCGGCATGGAAGCTGATTGGCAAGAGTAGGCCCAAAGGGGGAGCAGCTGCCAAGCTTGATTTTGCTACTGCCGATGACTTCAACCACTTTTTTGTTGAGTCAGTAGATGATATTATTGGCGGTATACCATGTAATACTGATGTTTACAATTTTAGTGATTCAATTCCATTGGTTAGTGCTAGTTTTGAATGGAAAACCATAAATGTATCCGATGTTGTAAATATTGTAAATAATTTTAAGTCCTCTGACAGTAAGGACATCTTTGATATGTCGACTTCACTAATCAAAAGGGTTGTTAAGATACTTGCTCCTTTGCTGGTCCACTTGTTTAACTGCTGCCTTTTGCAGGGCATTTTCCCTAATGTATTAAAGACAGCCAGAACTGTACCTGTGTACAAAAAGGGTCCCAAAAATGTTTTATCTAGCTATAGGCCAGTGTCCTTGATACCTGTGTTTGGTAAGATTTTTGAAGCTGTCATGTTAAGTCAGCTCTGTGATCATTTTGAAGCGCACGGGCTCCTGGTCCCCGCCCAGCATGGTTTTCGGAGGGGCAAATCTACTGTCTCGGCAGTGGGCTCCCTTCTGCAGGTCATCCTGGAGGCATTTGAGGAAAAATGTTCAACTTCCGTTGTCCTGTGTGATTTATCACGGGCTTTCGATTGTGTTTCACATGACTTATTGCTACAGAAGCTTCCTAAGTATGGGGTTGGTCCCCGTGCGCTTGGAATGATCGAGTCCTATCTTAATAATAGGACTCAAGTAGTGTCATGGGCAGGTGTGAACTCAAAAGATCTGGCAGTTCAGCATGGGGTCCCACAGGGCTCGGTGCTTGGGCCTTTCTTATTTATAGTTACAATGAATGACCTTTATCACAATGTCTCTAATGATGTGTTGCTGTATGCAGACGATACAACTCTGTTCTCTAAGAACACTGACCCTACCACAGCTAGAAATTGTGTAAACACATTGGTTAATGCAGCATCTGAATGGTTTGCTGGAAATAGATTAGCCTTAAACAAAGATAAGACTCAGGAAATCATGTTTAGTCTTAACAAAAATGTTACCAGCAGTGATCCTGTAAAGCTTCTGGGTTTCACCCTGGATTCTGAGCTTGTGTGGAGTGACCACATTGACGCCCTCTGTGCTAAGCTCAATCGAGTGATTTTCCTTTTAAGAAACCTATCTCATGAATTGCCATTTCATTTCTTGAGGCTGGCTTTTTTCTCTTTCTTTCAGGCACACGTTGTCTACGGTACGCGGCTCTGGGGTCACTCCCCACATGCTAAGAAAGTGTTGTTACTTCAGAAAAGAGCGATTCGAGTCATGTGTCAGACTCATTTTATAGAGCACCATAAACCTGTATTTAGCGAACTTCGGATCATGACTGTGGTCAATGTGTACATATATCAATGTTTGATAGCAATGAAAGATATGGAGGCTGATCTTGTATATAATAAGGATGTTCACTCTTACATGACCAGAAATCGTTCAAATGTACATATGAGTAGTAATAGATTAAGTAAATCACAAAACTGTTTTCCTGTTACAGGTACCTATTAGGTTTTTCAATGCCCTCCCTGGTATTGTCCGTTCCCAGAGGAGATCAAAATTTGTATCCATTGTGAAAAATTGGCTTGAGTTGAACCCATATTACAAATTTGATGAATTTTTTTATGCCATGAAGGCTGCACAAAACTTAAATACTTATTAAGTCATGTCATGTACGTCTACTGAAAGGTATGTTTGTTTGACAATTATATTTTGCATGGTTTGCTGTGTGAAGATTTTGACAGAAGTGCTGTTGTTTGGTTTGCAGTGGATTATTTTATTATTTTGTATGTTTTATTTTTTTTCAGGAAAGACTGAAATTATTTTTAGATTAATATTTTATGTAAGACAAAGCCTATTGTAATCAACTTAATGGCCGAAATAAATCTTGAATCTTGAATCTTGAATCTTGAATCTTGAACCATAGCTTTAGCAGCACATAGGCTATCCAGGTAGGTAGTGACATAAGTTATTGAAGAAATAACATAATGGCCTAACTTAGTCCATAGCAAAAGGTCCTAACCGTAAGTTGCACAAGCGTTCTAAAAAATTACCAAAACAATTTGTCAGGTAGACATTTTGACTTAAGCCTACCATATATATTAAAGCCTACCTTATAAAATTAAACTATCATAACATAGGCCTAACCTAACCAACCAAACTTGCTGATGGTGAAAAAATCGCATGAAGGTTTACTAATCGAATTGATAGTTTCAATCGATATTAGCATTGCCCAATTAAGAAACTGTATCTGTGAGTAGACCCAGCTTAACTTATTAACTTGTTGGTTAAAGTAAGTTCTTAGGACTACTAACCTAATATCACCAATTAAAGCAAATAATAAGTATGCTTAAAAATAAGTAGATGGGCAGGTACTATCATTCATGAACCTCTTGAAGATTGTTTTAGGAATGTTTAAATAACTTAAACCATAAATCAAAACAATTAATTGGCTGTGACTGGACTGGAAAACACTGAAAATTGGGTTGTTAGGTTAGTCCAAAAGTAATAATAAACAAAGCTCACCTCCTTTTTCAGCTAGTCTCCAGTTAATACTATGCAAATATTTTATATAGTTAAAACACAACTATTACAATTTGAAATACTAACCGGCTAAAGCAAATCAAATCACAAATCTTATTGCTGTATTTCTTTAAAAGTCAAGTCAAGTAGTTAGATCGATCTTGTTTTCTAAATTTTTGACGTTTTGTTTTTACTTTTTTTTAGAAAGTCTTGTGTTTAGTTTAATTCCAACATTCCACCATAGAGCTTTTCACGGCCGCCTTCAAGTACTACCATTGATTATATATCTTCAACATAATTATCAATAATCTACCGGGTGATTCAAAATGAATAGACAGGTTTTACCGCTTCATAACTTTTATATTTATACTATTAAGGCCCGTTCACACGGGGCGAGTTTACAAGCTACACGCCAGCGTGTAAGAAGCTGGCGAGTTGGCGTGTAAAGTAGCGGCAGCGTCAACTTTTTCCAGAGCTTTTTTACAAGCAGCTTTTGAGCGAGTGTCGTTCACACTGAGCTATTTTACTAGCTGCGTGTAAAAAAGCCGGCGTGTAGCTTGTAAACTCGCCCCGTGTGAACGGGGCTTTAAACTAACCACTATAAAACACACATCAAATGGAAAAGCAACTCTAACAGTTTTATGTCTTCCAAAGACACATTATTAAACAAAATAGATCCAGTAGAAAAGTGAATTTAATTGTTCAAAGATAACTTCCCGTACGAGTGACTGAACTGAAATATTCACCTAAGTTTTTAGCAATAAAGGATGGGTAACGGATATGTCAGCTTATGGTTTTTATGTTCCGAGCGGGAAGCGGATATATCCACCTTCTCATCAGACAGACTGGCAGGTGCTTGAGCAGTAACCATATGTTTCGCGGTACCAAGGCGCTACTTTCTGTACTCTCCATGGCTGCGCTCTCTCACGCACACCCCCCCCCCCTCATGCCTACACCTCTCCCGCCGCTCCCCTTCTCCCTCTCCCGCGCATGACCCACCTCTCCTACGCTCCCCCCTCGACGTTTCGTGCTCAACACTTGGTCGATTTTTATTTATTGTATTCAAATTGTTCTTTATATTTATTGCCTAACATTGTCATGGTCATATCTTCAAAGATGGGTGGCGTATATCCGCTGCTTTTCTACTCATCCGTGGACGGGTAGCGGATATCGGCATAGTTAAAAACGAGAAAAAATTATTTTGACAGTATGAAGTGTTCCATTGTGTTTATTTTATGTATACTTGTATACCAAAACACAAATGAGGAAAACTAATTTTTATTATTTCCTATAATTCTTTCCTGTTCTATGTCACAAATTCGCCCATCCGGAAAGGGTTAAAAAGTAATCTCAAACTTTGTTCACCACATCAAATTTGAGGTTGCTTGACGTTTTTGGAAATAACTTTTAAATGGTATTGAAATCGTCCAAAGTGGAAGGAAATATTCCGAAAGCGAATAAAGTTTCCTACAATTTACTATTGTGCATTTCTTGAAAATACTCAGCAAAGGCAGCCAAAAATTGCCAGAATGAAACAAAAATTGGCAATCCCCGGTTTTTATGTCTATTGTCTACATTGAAAACGGAAATTTTCACATATTTTTATTTTGAGGCCATTTTTTGGCGCTCAGAAGGTTTTTGCCTGCAATCAGCTGAATGCTGAAAGAGTCTTTTGACAAAACACCAGACGTAATCTAGGGTCGCCTTGATTTAGATTCTGTTCAACGACCACGACCAGTTTGTAGGGATTTAAAATCGTCATGTAAAATACAATGTAAACGGGTCCTAGAAAAACCTAAAGCAACATAATGTTTTCTTGTCAATCTTTTTGACTTCAGAGGACATAGATTCCCGAATTCTTGTGGTGCTCTCATCAGTACGTACAGACTTTGGCCTCCCCGGAGGTTTATTCTTGAGAACATATCCCTTAGATTTTAAATTAAACATCCACCTAACTTATATTATGTCAGCTATCCTTAAATAATGTGTTTGACCTAAAGTAATATAACTGGTACTGCTGACATTGAATTAATAAATATTTTGTTTATTATTTTCAAAATAAACTTATCACACACTTTTATAGAAATTTCTATATTTCGGCATTAGCCTTCTTCAGGAACAAACACAATAACAAATAGAAGTGTTTACCACTCTGAATCATATGGTTTTAGCAAAAATCCAAAATACATATAATTTATGAAGAAGTAAAAAAGAAAATGTTTTGATAGAAAGAAAGAAAAAATTTTATATATATAAATATATATGTATATATATACTATCTCAAATTTAGACCGGAAGGTGTTTTAGATTTAAGTATTAATTGATGAGCTTGCTCAAGCTGTCTTAATTTCAAGTCTGGTGCGTCTTTTGCCAATTTTCTTATTCCTTTTAATGAATAACATTGTTCAAAATTTTGAGAATGCTCTCTCGCATGAATAGCCACAGGTTTTTGTTTATCAGGATGGTTTACATCATATCTGTGGCCATTCATACGAACTCTTAGAGCATTGGTGGTTTTGCCAATGTAGTCTTTAGGACAATTTTTTTCTTTTTTTGCATGAAATTTGGTAAATTACATTAGTAGACTCACAGGTGATGTTACTATTTATGTTATAACATCTTTTTGTTTGCCTGCTTGTGAAAGTTTTTGATGGGATGATTAATTTGCAAGTGGCACATCGTGGTTTGTTGCATTGATTACAGCCCGAAGGTTTTGCTGAGGGTTGGGAAGTGGGAGGTAGTTTGGGTTTTGAAAGAATGTATTTAAAGTTAGGAGCTTTTTTGTATATTAGTCTTGGGGGTTTGGAAAACAAATTATGGGTCAGAGGTGAATTTGAAAGAATATTATGTGCCACTCTTAAAACATTATTAACTTTGTAAAGGCCAGGAAAGTATTGGGTGATGAATCTTGGATCTTTTTTGAAATTATCTGTGTTAGGATTTTTTGAGCTTTTTATTTGACTGTCTATTAAATTTTTAGGATAACCTCTTCTGTTAAGTGAATTGCTGAGTTTTTCAATATAATTTTGGTAATCACGATTTTCAGAACAAAGGTTTTTTGCTCGTATTGATAGGCTTTTTGGTATGGATTTTTTAATGTGTGCAGGATGACAGCTTGAGTAAGCTAAGTAATCCATTGTATTCGTATCCTTTACATGGATTTTGGATTTTAACATACCATCTCTAACAAAAACGTCAACATCCAAAATCCAACATCCAATCTGTTCAACGACCACGACCAGTTTGTAGGGATTTAAAATCGTCATGTAAAATACAATGTAAACGGGTCCTAGAAAAACCTAAAGCAACATAATGTTTTCTTGTCAATCTTTTTGACTTCAGAGGACATAGATTCCCGAATTCTTGTGGTGCTCTCATCAGTACGTACAGACTTTGGCCTCCCCGGAGGTTTATTCTTGAGAACATATCCCTTAGATTTTAAATTAAACATCCACCTAACTTATATTATGTCAGCTATCCTTAAATAATGTGTTTGACCTAAAGTAATATAACTGGTACTGCTGACATTGAATTAATAAATATTTTGTTTATTATTTTCAAAATAAACTTATCACACACTTTTATAGATATTTCTATATTTCGGCATTAGCCTTCTTCAGGAACAAACACAATAACAAATAGAAGTGTTTACCACTCTGAATCATATGGTTTTAGCAAAAATCCAAAATACATATAATTTATGAAGAAGTAAAAAAGAAAATGTTTTGATAGAAAGAAAGAAAAAATTTTATATATATAAATATATATGTATATATATACTATCTCAAATTTAGACCGGAAGGTGTTTTAGATTTAAGTATTAATTGATGAGCTTGCTCAAGCTGTCTTAATTTCAAGTCTGGTGCGTCTTTTGCCAATTTTCTTATTCCTTTTAATGAATAACATTGTTCAAAATTTTGAGAATGCTCTCTCGCATGAATAGCCACAGGTTTTTGTTTATCAGGATGGTTTACATCATATCTGTGGCCATTCATACGAACTCTTAGAGCATTGGTGGTTTTGCCAATGTAGTCTTTAGGACAATTTTTTCTTTTTTTGCATGAAATTTGGTAAATTACATTAGTAGACTCACAGGTGATGTTACTATTTATGTTATAACATCTTTTTGTTTGCCTGCTTGTGAAAGTTTTTGATGGGATGATTAATTTGCAAGTGGCACATCGTGGTTTGTTGCATTGATTACAGCCCGAAGGTTTTGCTGAGGGTTGGGAAGTGGGAGGTAGTTTGGGTTTTGAAAGAATGTATTTAAAGTTAGGAGCTTTTTTGTATATTAGTCTTGGGGGTTTGGAAAACAAATTATGGGTCAGAGGTGAATTTGAAAGAATATTATGTGCCACTCTTAAAACATTATTAACTTTGTAAAGGCCAGGAAAGTATTGGGTGATGAATCTTGGATCTTTTTTGAAATTATCTGTGTTAGGATTTTTTGAGCTTTTTATTTGACTGTCTATTAAATTTTTAGGATAACCTCTTCTGTTAAGTGAATTGCTGAGTTTTTCAATATAATTTTGGTAATCACGATTTTCAGAACAAAGGTTTTTTGCTCGTATTGATAGGCTTTTTGGTATGGATTTTTTAATGTGTGCAGGATGACAGCTTGAGTAAGCTAAGTAATCCATTGTATTCGTATCCTTTACATGGATTTTGGATTTTAACATACCATCTCTAACAAAAACGTCAACATCCAAAAAAGTAACAATATCTTCTGAGAAGTTCCAGGTAAATTTAAGGATTGAGAATTGATTTAGATTTTCAAGGAAAGTTTGCAGGTTTTCTAGTCCATGTTCCCAAACCATGAAAATGTCATCAATAAACCTATACCAAATTGAAGGTTTCAACATTTGTGAATTTAGAAAAAGTTCTTCAACATGCCCAACAAATAAGTTTGCAAAAGAAGGTGCCATACGTGTGCCCATAGCTGTCCCTTTCACTTGAAGGTAATTTTGATCAAGGAATTTAAAATTGTTCATGGTTAAAACAAAATGAATTAAGTTTATAATAAAATTTGCACTAGGTTTGGAGTTAACTGGACGTTTTTCTAGGTATTTCTTTACAGATTTTTCTCCTTATGTGGGATGTTAGTATATAGTGAAACTACATCAATTGTCACCAATATAGTATTGTCCGTT